TTAGCAGGAAAATGATAAAATCAGAACTGCATTTTGAATATGTTGGCAAAGGATTATAAGTGGCACAAAGACCAGGGAGATAATAATTAATTAAATGAGAGGGTCTCTCCTAGGATGGAGGGAGTCAAAATAAAAAGTGAAGGATAGGCCATTGCTTTGCTAAGCCATGGTCTGACCATGTGGCTCCCTGAGCCACAGTCGCTACATTTCCCAGCCTTGGCCTCCCTCCCCTACCTTGGGGAGATGAATCTCCTCTCTCTCTCTCTCTCTCTCTCTCTGTCTCTCTCTCTCTAATGTACTTTTAAAATAAACTATATGACTGGGCTTGGTGGCTCAGCCTATAATCCCAGCACTTTGGGAGGCCAAGGCGAGTGGATTGCCTGAGCCCATGGGTTCAAGACCAGCCCGGGCAACTTGGCAAGACCTTGTCTCTACAATAAATGAAAAAAATTAGCCGGCCATGGTAGTGCACGCCGGTAGTTCCAGCGACTTAGAAGGCTGAGGTGGAAGGATCGCCGGAGCCCAGCAGGGCAACGTTGGGGTGGCCGTGAGCCTGCATGCCACTGTACTGCAGCCTGGATGATGGAGTGAGACTCCAACTCAATAAATAAATAAGTAAACTATATTTTCCAATCTAAAAAATAAAAAGTGAAGGATGGGAGAAACACTTTAAAGAATTTGCAGGGTCAGTGACTGTGGGAGGTGTGGGGGAATCAATAAATTATAGAAATTGTCAAAATTACTCAAGATGCCCAACTTAGGTGGCTGAAAAACGACGGTAGCGACCACCGAAATGGAAAAATTCAGAGCAGCAAATGATTTGGGGGAGACTTGATGGATTTGTCTTGTGGACATGCTGAGTTTCAAGTACCAGTAAGACACCTGGGAATAAGCAACGTAAGTCATGTGGGAAAATGGAGATCTGGACAGTAGCATGGACTGGTGGCCTAGACCTGGTCTCAGCAACATAGGAGTAGACAGCACAGAGACAGTTATGATCAGGTAGAGAGTGGGGCTGGACACAGCCCAGAGGAAACATGCACATTTAGGGAGCAGGAGAATGAAGTGTGGTGAAAAAGAAAGAGAATGGAAAAGAAGCCATCAGAGATATGGGTGAAGACAAATGATACAATGCCCAGAAAAAAATTAATGCCAAGGAGGAAGACAGTATGACCAAGCATTGAGGATATCACAGAAGAAAGGACTAAGAAGAGATATAGGCTTTACGAACAAGAATATCATTAGTGACCTTTGCTGAAGAAGTTAGTGGACTCTTGGGAGAAACCAAATTACTGTGAGTTAAGTAACTGGTGTGAGAAAGTGGAAGCCTTCAGTATAGAGCAGAGGTTCTCAAACTTTTTGGTCTCACAATCCCTTTATACACTTACAAATGATTGAAACCCTGGCCGGGCACAGTGGCTCATGCCTATAATCCCAGCACTTTGGGAGACCAAGGTGAGAGGATTGTCTGAGCCCATGGGTTCAAGACAAACCTAGGCAACTTAGTGAGTCATCATCTCTACAATAAATAAAAAAATTAGCCGGGCGTGGTGGCACATGCCTGTAGTTCTAGCTACTTGGAAGGCTGAGGTGGAAGGATCACCTGAACTCAGCAGGTCGAGGTTGCGGTGGCCATGAGTGTGCCACTACACTCCAGCCTGGGCAACAGAATGAAACTCCAACTCAAAAAACATATATATATATATTTGCACCTGGTGCAGTGGCTCACACTTGTAATCCCAGCACATTGGGAGGTAGAGGCAAGAGGATTGTCTGAGCCCAGGGGTTCAAAACCAGCCTGGGCAATTTCTTAAGACCTCATTTCTACAATAAATAAAAAATTAGTCAGGCGCAGTGGTGCACACCTGTAGTTCCAGCTACTTGGAAGGCTGAGGCAGAAGGATCATCTGAGCCAAAGAAGATCGAGGCTGTGGTGGCCATGAGTGCCACTGCACTCCAGCCTGGGAGACAGAGTGAGACTCCAACTCAAAAAATAAAATACAATAAAAACAAGGTATTTTTGCAAGTGTCTTTCATGTGTGTCATAATGGAAGACAGCTGGATTCTCATATCTGTGTCTGCATTCAGTCCTTTGTGACACGTTATTTTGGTTGAAGGACATGAAGAAAATCCAGTCTCACACAGACATGAGTTGGAAAAGGGATCACACTTGGGGAACTGCTGGCACAGAGGCCTCTCCTGAAGAGTTTGACTGTGGAAAAAGTCAATTTTACTATTAAGGTAAGAAGAAACCAGCTGTGTTCACTGGCAGACGGGAAGGCACCTGGGGGAGACGAAAATCGATGAATGCTAGAATGGAGGAATGAAAGAAGCCTAATTCTTAGTGAGCTGCTCCTGTGCCAGGTGCCTTCATACACTAATGAAGGTCACCCAAATCTTACAATTCTCTAAGATAGGCATTATCTTTTGTTTTCCTAATAAGGAAATTGAAGCTGAGAGAAAATAAACAACTTTCCCAAGGCTATACAGAGTGATCTTTTAAAAGTATAACTCAAGGCCAGACGTGGTAATCCCAGCACTTTGGGAAGCCAAGGTGAGAGGACTGCTTGAGCCCAGAAATTCAAGACCAGCCAGCCTGGGCAACATAGTGAGACCTCATCTCTACAGAAAAAAAATGTGTTTTAATTAGCCAGGAATGTGGTGTGTGCCTGTAGTTTTAGCTACTTGGGAGGCTGAGGCAGAAGGATCACCTGAGCCCAGGACCAGAAGGTTGAGGCTACGGTGAGCCATGATCATGCCACTGCACTGCCTGGGTGACAGACTGAGACCTCAACTCAAAAAACAAAAAAAAGTAAATCAACTCGTGTCACTCTCCTTTGATAACCGAATGTTATACTTCTAGTACTGGATGAGAAAATCATGGCACAGATAACTAACTTGCCTCAAGTCATATAGTTAGCAAGGAACAGATTGGAACCTAACACTGTATCTGGAGACTGCACTCCTAACCATGAAGTCCAAACACCTTAACTTGGCTCTAAAAGCACTAAATGGGCTGGGTGTGGTGGCTCACACCTGTAATCCCAGCACTTTGGGAGGCCAAGGCAGGAGGATCCCTTGAACCCAAAAGTCCAAGACTAGCCTAGGCAACACAGCGAGACCCTGTCTCTAAACAAAACAAAACAAAACAAAACCCCTCAATGCTTCGGTTCCTGACTCCTCTCCTACCTCTTGTTTTGCCAGTCTCCTCAGCCTTACTGGCCCTTCCATTTTCCTCTATTGGTCAAGGTTCTTTCATAAACTGTCAAAAAACAAAATTACAGGTTTGGCGTGGAGGCTTACACAATTCCAACACTTTGGAAGGCCGAAGCAGAAGGATCCCCTCAGCAACCTAGTAAGGCATGGTAGCACAAGCCTGAAGTTCCAGCTACTTGGGTGGCTGAGGCAGGAGGCTCCCTTGAACTCAGGAGGTCAAGGCAGTGAGCTATGATTGGGCCACTTTACTCCAGCCTGGGCCACAGGGCAAGACCTTGTCTCAAAAACTCAAAATTACAACAAAGTAAACTGAAGGATTTTAATTGGCTTTTGAGATTCTAGAATTGGGCAACACTTATCTACTGTGACCTGGGTGAGTTACTTAACCTCACCGAGCCATTTTTTTTTTTATTTTTAATTAAATATTAGTGTATTATTAGGAATGATACTGACTTTTGTATATTAGTCCTAAAAATCTGTCTAGAGTTCCTTGAATTTTCAATGTAAATAGTACTATAATTGACTAATAAGAACAGTTTCCTCTTTATTCTGTAATGTAAAATGAGTGTTCCAATGAGTTGAGCAGAGGAGACTGGTTTTTTTTTTTTTAGTTGGAGTCTCACTCTGTTGCCCAGGCTGGAGTGCAGTGGCCAGCTCACAGTCACCACAGCCTTGACCTGCTGGGCTCAGGCAATCCTTTCGCCTCAGCCTTCCAAGTAGCTGGAACCACAGGCATCCGCCACTATGCCCGGCTGATTTTTTGATTTATTGAAGAGATAAGGTCTCGACGTGTTGCTCAGGCTGGTCTCGAACCCCTAAGCTCAAGTAACCCTCTCGCCTCTGCCTCCCAAAGTGCTGGGATTACAGGCATGAGTTACCAAGCCCGGCTAGTTTTATAGACATGAAAGGGCTGAGGAAAGCAGAAACAGGAAACAAAACACAGACTGGTTATTTCAAAGTTACTTTCCTTGTAAAGGTTAAAGTAGAGGGGTCTTCTTTATCAAGCCGGCTAATATTTGCTCACTCTTGATTTCTCAGGTCAGATAAACAATTTACTTTCGGCCTGGTGACGTGGAACTTTAGCATGAGTGACTCCATTTTGGTTTGGTCTGTGGGGCGTACTGCAGGAGCCCAGTCCAAACCAACGACCTCCAATAGAGTTTAACATAATATTCCCCCTAATTGCAAAGCTCCTCTCCTAGTTTTCACAACGTTGGCTTCATGTTCTGCATCTCAGCTCAGATGTCACCTCTGGACATCCCTGGCCAGACACTAAAATGCCACCCAGTCACTGTCACGTCGTGGTATATTAATCCTCTGAAGAACTTTTACCCTATTTTCGTTTACTGAAGACTCTCTGCCTGCAGTGCCATGAGCTCAGGGAGCCATCTGATCTTGGTCGCCGCTCTCTGCCCAGAGCCTGGGAAGGAGCCTGGTACCTGGCGAGCGCCGGATGAACGCGTGGGATGAACGAAGGCGCCCCTAGGAGAGACCCCCAAGACTTCGGCCCGGGCTACCGGGCTGGGCGGCCGCGTGAGGCATGCTGGGGACTGTAGTTCTTCCCGGCCACGATGACGTAGCCCGCGCTGACGCACACGCTGCGCTCCCGTGGGCGGGGCCGCACGTCGTTGCCATGGCTTCTTGGCCCTGCAGAGGCCGGAGGCGGTCCAGCTAGGCGCCCGCTAACTTCGGCTGCGACCCGGACTGGAGAGCGGAAGGAGTCCCGCGCGGTGGGTGCGGGGAACCCGCGGGCAGAGTGCGGGGAAGTCCGGGAGCCCCGAAGGCGCGCGCCGCAGCCCGGGAAGCGTTTTCCTCCCCATTTGCCGTGCATAACTCATCTCCCCAAACCCAGCCCCGCTGTTCTGTGAGTAAAGAGTGCTTATCCCATTTTACCGGTGGTTTGCTCGAGGTCTCCCTCCCAGGAAATGGCAGCGCTTGTCCTAAACCCGGGCCTGACTCGAGGCCAGTGCTCTTTGCAGTCACAGTGGCAGCCCCCATACCCTTGCCTGATCACAGATTTCCTCAGGCTGACGCCCAGGTGGGGGTCGTCAGCTACAGCCCCCCTCCTCGGTAGCCTAACCTGGTTTGTCACGCTCAGTTGCCACTCTGCTCAGCCGGAGAGAGAGTTCCATCAACATTGACTCAGGGTCTGATAATAAGAGAAAGATAAGACATAGTTATAATAATACAATATCAGGGCATGTTGAAATCAAAGGAAAGTACCTTGTTTAACCTATAATTTAGTAAGTGTGGAAATAGGTTCGGAGTAATTTTTTTTTTTTTTTTTTTTTT